ATACTCAAATTTGGTGTCATATGGTTTGTGCAACCACTATCAATCAACCATAAATCACCATTCACTGCAGCGACACAATTCTTTTCTACCTTTGATGCCAGAGCTAGGAATTGAATCCTAGATTGGTGGGTAAAGCACATGCAACTCTATCATCAAACCACATGGTTGATTGTCATTTTTATCTTGATCTACCCACTTAGGAAGTGACTTCTTTTTTTCATTTTTTTTTTTGGCGTTGTTGCATTTATACGCACTGAAAGTCCAAATACGTCTAGAGATAAAGTCTACGCTAAAATGGCATACTCACATCCCCTCTTTCTGTTCCTCTAGGATGCAAAGATTTGCTTCTCTGATGATACTCTGCCAGATGGTTTCAATGTGAGGGAAGGTGATATGGTGTCTTACCAACCTTATGCAATGGGCAGAATGAAATTCATATGGGGTGATGATGCAGAGGAATTTAGACCAGAGAGATGGCTTGATGAGCATGGTGTGTTCCAACCTGAAAGCCCTTTCAAGTTTACAGCCTTCCAGGTAGGGTTCAGAATACGCACGTTAGATCATTCTTATTGGTATTATGCAAAAACAAACCTAAAAACATTAAAAAGAAGTAAGGCGTCCATTTTTCATGTTTCACCTTCAAAGTAGTCTTGCATCATTTGGAAAGTATGATTTTGCTTGCTGACGATGCTAAATTAACTTCTCAAATGGGGAACAGGCTGGTCCTCGTATTTGTATCGGTAAGGAGTTTGCTTATAGGCAGATGAAGATCTTCTCAGCTGTTCTGCTACACTGCTATGCTTTCAAATTGAGTGATGAGGAGAAAATCATCACTTACAGGACAATGATTAATCTTCATATAGATGGGGGCCTTCATATTCTTGTTTCCCACAGATAGATGATTACTGTTTGTTGCATATTCTATCATATGAATCAAATTAATGTAATGTAATTGGGGATGGAAAACCACGTAATTTGAATTGTTCTTTTATCAGACACCAACGAAACTGCAAATTTAAATGAAAATTTTAACTTGTTAAAGCCACACTAATTGAATGATGTACATAAATTTAACTGT